AATTTGCATTAATTATATAAGATATAATATAAACTATAAAACTCAAAATACCTAATCATTAGTTCAAAATCCTTATAATATTGATACCAAAGGAAATAAAGACTGCAATATGTGCATATGTGAATGCCACAAAGTACTAGATAATAAAAATAATAAACAAACTATTGTTAACATTTTTCTGCAAATTCATAATATTCCATATTTTTCCCAGAATTTCGGTTCGTTTCGTGCTTTCCCCAAGTAACATTTCGTTTATTTCGCATTTTTTATTTCATAATAACCAAAACTGTGATCTTTTCGGTTTCACTTTAAAATAGACCTATTTAACGATACCCCGAGTTTCATATTTGTAAAAAGAACTTATAATTGATTCCAAACTGTTTTCCTCGGGTATAGTAAGCATTTACTTTCGCAATTAAAATTTTAAATACATCTGTATTCCCATTGTCTTTACGAATTCCGACTGAAATAATTTTCTGTTAACCTGAAATGAATGTCGCGATCGATAACGCGATCTATCCACGTATCGTAAAACATTAATCGCATCGGTGTTCGATCTACATTATCCTACCATTTGGATCACAAAATTCGTTGTGCACAAACCAGCACAATGTTCGATCACAATAGATACACATCTAGCTAGTTTAATAAACCGGAAGAAAAGAAAATTCGTTACATGTAAAGAATTTCTTTCTCTGCAGTCTACATTAGCCAGCGTCAGACAATGGGAGCGGAGTTTTAAAATTCACCGCAGCTACAATAGAATTCATCCCCGATTGCGCTCATTCAAATCAAGGAAAATCACACGATCCATCGTGTTGCCTGAAATTCCCCAAGTAATCTCAGCAGGACGAAAAGAGAGAAAGAGGGAGAAAAGGGTTCGCCGGGGGTAGTCGGGCCATCGTTGGACCATCGCCGAGCAGAAATTCACGTTTCATCGGGCCGGATCTGCGGAGACAAAACCACTCACGTCCACCGAGCGACGTCAACACGAGAAAGACCGATAATTTCCGAATAAAAAGGTAACGTGGCTGCGCAGTGCAGCTTTCACATTTCTCGCATCTCCAGGGGAGGCTATTTTACAAATTCACGACGTGGCATCACATTTTTCGGCGGAGTTTTCACGCTCGAACGCGTCTCGAACCGTCCGCATGGAGCTACTACCTATCTTGGGTTAAACAGGTTCACCATCGAAAACCGTCTAAAAATAGAGTTCGCGATTTTCCTAAAGGTTAATTAAACGAATTGAATCTTAATAATCGTTTATCAGTTAAATCAATTAATATATGAAGATTTTTTTGAAGAATGTAAAGGGAAGACAGAAATGTATTTTTTAATTATTGGGAAATAAAAATATCATAAAATAGAAAATTTATGTAGTATTTTTCAAATTTCTTTTGTTGGAATAACTGTCGTTGAGAAAGTTGAAAATAGTTATTTATATATAAACAGAAATGTATACCTTTAATGCAACGCATTATTAATTTCTTATAAAATGTTTCTATAAAGTTTGCAAAAATTGTATGACAGATTTTGCATTGGTCAAGCGAAAAGTATAATTTCAAGGAAAATGCAAAGGAAATTTCAAAGTAACATTTTTTTTGGATACAGCAAGGTTTCTTAAATTTTACTTTCAAAGCACGTTAACCAATTGTCGAACTGTATGAACTTTTAATTTAAACTTTTAATTTAAACTTTTCAATTCTAGTTCATTAATGTGCTCAAAATTTTAAGAAAATTAAACAAAAAACATTTAGTATTTTTAAACTACCAGGGTGGTATATGCTGTTAAGGGTACAGTGAGAAGAATACGTGAAATTATATTATAATCGAGCGGTAAGGGTAGCTTCGTGTCTCTGAACTGTACCTGAATAATAAGAGACTTTCTAATAAATTAATTTTCGATCCTAATATCTACCGAATCTTATTTTATCATTATAAAATATTAACCCATTATCTTACGATGTTTTTCACAATTATGCTTGGGGAACTATTTTACCATTAATAATTTAGTAGAAAAAGATAAGAATTTGATGCTTGTTCTATGTCCACATTTACCCTGAAGGATAAAGTTTGATAGTAAACAAGTAAGATTTAATTTATATGAAAAATAAATAAATAACATTTTGATTTGTAGAATTTTGAAAATTGTCATCATGAATCTGACTCGATATTATGGGAGAAAAGGTTAACATATTAATAAGATTAATTGGCTTGAAGAACAATATTCTTAGAATATAAAAGTATATTAAAGAATTTATTCGATATCCGTGCACAATTAATAACTAAAATGAACAAGAGATGTGATACGTCCCTCGGGTTTGTTCGATAATTAATAATGAATGACAAACGCAGGCGGAAACCCGATCAGAAACTATTAGCCGCCCCAAAAACGAAACGACCCTTTGGGAAGGAAAGAAATTGGCATTGTGCGGTACCTCGAATAGGCGTATTCCGCTCTAAATTGGATCCTTCGAATCTTGTCCTGCGCTTTTATTTCGTAGTATTGTTCTTCCAATCTTCCCATCCGACCAACCATTTCAAGAAAGCGACTCGCAGTTCACGAGCAGCAGACACGTTGAAGAGATAACGATTGGAAGCTTAATTCGATTACTTTTCAATTCGTTTTACTTACAAGAACTTGTTAGCCGTGATATCGGTAGTAATGGGTCGCGAAACTTCCACTTGTTATTTTTAGGAATTGTCTACTTGACATAACTGAACTTCATTTATTGCGTTAGTTGATAATTCGAATAAATCGTTTTGCTTTTCGTTATTGAATAGAAAACATCGTACATCCGTATTTTTCATTTTCCAAGCTGTTCGGAAGCAATATATTATATTTGATTATTACGGAAGAAGATTGAAATTTTTATATCATATTTAAAGTTGTGTACTCTAAGACATCAATTGAAATACATTTTATTAAAAGAGATCATTTCATTGTGTAAAACTTTATCAGTACGGCACTAGATTTCTTGTTTTATCATTAACTCCTTGTCCTATAACTTCTTTCGCAAGTATGCTTGATAAAACTACTTTATCGTTAATAAGTTAAGTAATATATAATTTAAAACAGATAAATTGAAAATCAATACATAATATTTAGATTTGCTGAATTCAGTTTCAATTTTTCACACATTATAAATACCTTAAAAGTGGTACATATAGTTTACGAAACTCTAAGTATTGTATAAGATAGTAAAAAATGTTATTTTTTTTATAGACAACTTCAAATCTAACATAATAAATTGTACGTATAATGTTATAAAGGATTATACTTATCAATATGAAGAATTACTATTTGTCATTGATATTATTTGTTCTAGAAAGAGGATATATTTTAATAAAAATTTGTTAAAGATACATATAATAAATTATAATATATTTTAATAATAATTTCCACTCTTATGGTTTGTATACTATACGAACATAAAATTCATTGTAGCGGTACGTGGCTCGCAGCGTTGGTAGAAAATAGCATTGACCGCTTACAGACGTTTAGGTATAGGCAATTAAGCCTGCCCTAAAGTCTGTAAGTCGGCGAAAATATTTTACACTTTTTACACGTGCGTAGCTGAATAGGCTACCCTACCATAAACGCTGCCAGCCATGTCCCGTTAAGGCTTCTTCGGCCGCACGGTCAGCGCGGCTCGGAAAAACATTGCAAATTAGAAATGCACAATTTTTCCCCTACCAAAAATCGAGGCGACGTTGGAGAAGGGAACTAGCTCCACCCTCGAAGTTTCTAAGGGGTAACGCCTTTCCGAAGACTAGTATAAATAAAGCGGAAAGGCGCGAGGAAGCACCTTTTTACATTACATTACTTTACATTACAACACATTACCCGTTCTGCCTCCGAACACTCATCTACGCAAATAAATAACTTGTAAACATATTTGTCGCGAATATTAAATAACACTCTACATTCCGACATTCATAATATTTCTATTTACAAGTAGTCACAGTTAATTGCTTGTGAAATGTTTTTATGGGCAGTAGAATCAAATTTCATATTTGATTTTATTTTTGCCAATACTGGATTTCAATATTCTTTAAATATTGAAGCGTTCAATTATAATGGAGAAATAATTTTCTAATTTGTAATTTAGATTTTGAGTGTTTACTAATATTTTATACACTATTAATACTTTCCTTCTGAATATTTTACGAAAATGCTTATGAATCATCAAGTCATTATTAAAATCATTAAATAAAATACATGAATATGTCCCTAACTAGTCGTTTATTTGTAAATGTCGATTGAAATATACCGTAAATGATGGATTCGCATTAAATATAATACTGGATTTTTACTTTATCTGAAAAGGGATCTAAAAGTTTTCTATTTCGGTGAATTATAGCTTGAGTTATTTCTTTCGGGCCATTGGCAAGAAGCGAAATGTTTCAAGCTTAGAGTGAACACCGTTGGTTCTGTTATATTGGTCTCGAATTGATCGGATACAATTTATCTTAAGTTTTATCGAGACGGATTTCCCTGTGATTGGTTTCATGAAACAGGTTACATAATTTTTCGTAAAACTTTCATGATATTACAAGTTTAAATCAAGGCATGTTCAATACGTCATATTAACTAAAAAATGTCGTAATTGTAATTTATTTTATAATAAAATTTACAAATTAAATTTATCAAGTTCTTTATTCTTTATTAAATTTGTCAATAGTATGAAAATTATATAACACTCAATATTACCAAACACGTCTGATAAAATTAATGCATAATTAAAATATATATATATAATTTCCTGAACTGTACATTTATTATAATCAATTTGAATTTGTCCGCTATTTATAGTAAAAATTATTAAATTTAAGATATTTTAATTTTAATTTAGTACAAACTTGTAGTATTATTTTCTTACATTCACAATATTAGTTCTAGTTTTCAACATTAGATGGCTGCTTCAATCACTTACTTTCTCACAAGTGATTCTTGTACATGCATTTTGTATATAAGGATAATTTCAAGGAAGCTCCGAAATGGGAAGTGAAGAGAATTGTATTAAGAAAATTCATGATTGAAGTATTATTATAACATAGTAGTGGACGTAATTCTGATCCCATTTTTTATAAAGTACTTCGCGTTCTTATCTCATTTAAATACTTCGTCGAATAATTATATTTCGTTGAATATGCCTAGCTTAGGACTTTTAGAAAAACCAAATTATCCATAAAATTTCAAACTACGATTCCATGGATGACCTTTAAGAGATAGGTAAGTCCTGAGTAACTGAAAATAATACAATTGTAACATGAATGATGTATAATATAAATATTATAGCAAAATCCAGATCGTTAACATATTTGTATTAATCAGTGTTTATTAAACGTGGTCGACTCTGAAAATGATAGGTTTACTTATGGAGAGGCACAGACTTAATGTTTGTGGAAGAGGTAAGTAAGTTACTTATTTACCTACACGAGTTTAGTATCAACATATCTCGTAAGAGGTCTCTGATGGCAATTTTCATTCACAGACTTTACATTAGGTGACGCATCCGAGTTATTTTTAGTTACTTCTGTTTTCTTTTGTAGATATCGGTTCGCGTCTGATTCCAGTTCCGGGTAAAAACTCAAAAATGTCTGTTGTAGGTTAGTTGTGGATAAACAACAGACCAGGTTAAGAAATGGAAGTAACTCGATTAAGTGAGTAACCGGAATAAATTAATGTCATACAATTTATACTCTTAATAATTGTGACGGACAGTGTACTTCTAACATTTTGTTTTTTCGGTGATGAATTTCTTCTGCTAAAATTTTATCAGCGTGTACATTGCCTTCTTTGAGATAAATGTGAAGAAAACACGGTGTGAAGTATGAAGAAAAATAAGCTTGGGTATTATTTTCTCCACGTGTTTGATCTATGCAGTGCTTCCTTAATTTTTAAATGAAGTTTATTTTGAACAAATTAGTATAAATACTTCTTCTGTTCTGAAATTACAATTAACAAGAGATATTTCTGTGAAATCTTTCATGTAAATGTATTATAATTTCCATATGACATAGATGCAATCTTTATTCTATTATTATTTCCTTCATGGTTACAATTTGTCTACTAGTGTAAGCAAGTATATATAACAATAGTGTTTATTAAAACATAAGTGTACAATGAACAATGTGAGTTTTAGTTTTTTGAAATTACGTACATATTAAATTATTATCTGTTTATTGTAGATACTGATATATTATTAATATACAACTTGCAACTAGAAGAGGTTATTATTGACCACTATGGACAGTGTTAGTTTCTTAATACTCTGATTTACGTGAAAAATTACCATTAATTTTATCCTGTACATATAATGTAATTTATATATAATATTAGTAGTAACTTACATTTAGTTTTAAAATGTGTTATATGCAAAGTCTTTGTATTATTATTGTACGAATAACATATTTATAGCGACTGCAAAGGATACAAATTTTATTTAACTTAAATTTTATACTGACAAACTGTGGCAAATATAAGCATGATGTTTTATACATAATACTTCTGTGATTTTTTCACTGCGTATCCTATTCTATATCCTATTATGTCTAATATACATATGTATATATGTACGTCCTTCTCATAATTTTAAGCGGTAGAATAATTCAAATTAAATTTCGTATAGTTAGAAATCTCAGAAGGACATAGGCTATTATTAAATTCAAACAATCCATTCTATTCCCATTTTATTCTTATTCTATAATGCTAATGAAATGTCTCAGTTATCATTAACAATATAGATATTGAACAGATTTTTATAAGAAATATTAATATGCACGCGAATAAAGCTGGAGATTTGAAATAATATATGTTATACGAACAAGAATAAAGAAAGAATCTTTAATATTTTATCGAGCATATAACATATATGTATTTCAAACCTTTTTCCATTTTGAAAAAAAACAGAATGTTATAATACTTTGTACCGTCTATTTTTAACTATATATTTTTAAAAGTAGCAAAATAAAGTTAAATTTTTATTTGATTTTAAGAAGAATTTATTATAATTAACGATTAGGTAATATTCAAAAAGTTAATACATCAAGAAAGATGATATCTATTTCTTAAACTTATATAGATATATTTTTGAATTTTTTGTAGATTTTCAGGAGATTCTGTCAGAATTGGATGATGTTCTAAAAAATGCATCATTTCTTGCAATTGATGGAGAATTCACAGGACTAAATTCAGGTCCTGATGCTGGTGCTTTTGATATACCTGCCCAGTATTACACAAAATTAAGAGCAGGTTCAATGGACTTCCTTCTTATACAATTTGGCCTGTCTGTTTTTACATTTGATACACATACACGCAAGTATGCTATTCCTTTTTTTTTATTTGTACAGTGGTACCTTGACTTATTACTCTACATATGAACTGTATTCATACTTCGTTTTAACCTTTAGATACAAACTTAATTTCGAGAAACGAACCGTAATACTTTTATAATTCCGAGTTATAATATAATAAAAACTAGGTTTTGAGATACGAACTTCGGACTGGAACAAATTAAGTTCATAAGCTGAGGTACCATTGTATTCTTCTCTCATGAGTCATGTTAAATGATTCCTTGCTATTTTGCTATATATGGTTGATGCTCATAGTCTTTATCAGTAGGCTTGAATTTTCTTTACTATTATTTATGAATAAATTCACAATTATTCAAGTAACATGAATATTATGATCAATATTTAATGAATGTATTTTAAAATGGAAAGATCAGTATAATTTACAATCTTTTGCTACTGCGTTAAATTATTTAAATTTATTTTAAGCATTGATAATTCTTTATTTTGGAAACTGTGCCAAATATTATCACATACTTTAATCACTATACAGTTTATATTAGAACCTATTATCTATTATTACATATTTTGAAGAATATAATGTTTTTTTTTGGAAGGTACAATCAACGGTCGTACAATTTTTATGTTTTCCCACGGCCTTTAAATCGCGCAGCGCCAGATTCAAGATTTATGTGTCAAGCATCCTCTGTATCATTCTTGATTGCTCAAGGGTTCGATTTCAATAAACTTTTTAACTTGGGCATTCCATATTTAACGACGAGCGAAGAAGAAAAGTTATTAAAGCGGTTAGAAGAGAGGCAAAAAGCACGCGACGAAGTACCAGAGTTGATACCCATATCAGATGAAGATAAACCTCAAATCACAAACATTTGGTGAAATGATTAATAATATTATCTGTTTAATTGTATCGAAAGATATTCAGTGTCTAATTGTAAATTATTTCAGCTCAAGGATAGAAGAATTCATAGCTTCTGAGACGAAAGAATTGATAATAGACAAATGTAATGCATATATTAGGCGACTTGTGCACCAAGAAGTAAGATTACGGTGGCCAAACGTATTAAGAGTTGAAAGTAGATCGGATTGTGCCGGACAATGTCTTGTAGTGCAAAAGTCAGGAACTAAGCAAGAAGAAGAACAAAAGGAAGTTGAAAGAAGAGAAAGAGAAAAGTTGGAAATTAAAGAAGCAGCTGGTTTAAGTACACTCCTGAGAAAGATTGCTGATTCTGTAAATTGACTGATAGCATTTCATTTATTAAAATAATACCAATGCATTTTAAAATATATTTTTATTCTAGGGTAAATTAATAGTTGGGCATAATATGTTATTGGATATTTGTCACATAATACATAAATTTTTCGGACCATTACCAGAAAGTTATTCGGAATTTAAATCTCTTGTTCACAGTTTGTTTCCTAGGTAACATTTGAAAATTTCTAAGATTTTTTCCAACCCTCAAACAATCGATAAAAATACTTTCGATCCGTGCCAGAATTTTTTTATTATGTATACCATAGATAAAGAGAGAAAACAATGTACAAGAAAATGTAAATATGTGAGTCAAGTAATTCAAGATATGTGCAACTCTCTGCTCTATTAAGCATGCATAGGTCAAAAGTGCTTTTGTATTGGTGGAGTGAGGGTTAAATTGCATATAAATATTTTATATCTTTTCATTCTTTTTTAATAGACTTTTAGATACAAAAATACTTTGCCAATCACAACAGTTCAAGGAAAAGATACCTTCATCGAATTTAAATGAATTACTAGAAAGTGTTAGCAAATCGCCGTTTGAAATTTCAGAAATAATACCTATTGATGGTAGAAGTTATTCCACATCGGCGGAGAAATGTCATGAGGCAGGTTACGACGCTTATATCACTGGAATATGTTTCATTGCATTGTGTAATTATCTTGGTAAGTAGATTATATATATATATATATATATATATATATATATATATATATATATATATATATATATATATATATATATATATATA